AACTAGAGGAACAGAGTTGTAACACTGTTATTTAGAGTCACTTTAGTTTTAATTAGTTTAGATTTTAGCTTACTTTAGTTTTAGCTTTAGATCCGGAGCTTTTGCAACACTGGTGCTTGTACCGCTGGGTGGACGGTGAGGGAGGGGGAGGGGACGGAAGACCCCCGCCTATGCCTGCACTTTGTAAATACATGCCCTTCTTAAGGTAAAGGCATTGTTGTTCCTCGCCCAATTCACACTACGTTTCAGTTATTTCAAATCTCCATATTCACGTGAAATCCCCATACTCAATATCCAGAGACAATGTGGTAAAAATTATTGAACGTGGAAAAATTTTGAGACACACACAATAACCCAATTATACTTGTAATACTGCTCATCAAGAGTTGTCTGAAATGCTTAAATCATAACAGTACAAAGACAAAATCGGTCAAAACAACTATAAAAGTGGAAAAGTTGCTAGCTGCACTGGAGACTTGAATTAACAGATGATCCAGGCAAACCAGGTATTACACAACTTTTGTGCCCTTTATTGTGGACCTGCAAGCCAACTTTCACAGGCCGTACGCGGGAACCAGGCATACCTGGGGAATGAATTTGAAATCCTTGAGTTCCAGGTGGACGGGAGACATAACCCACGATTTCAGCTTTGTTTCTGTTCCCGAGTTAGCGATTTTCCTGCCAAAACTTCCATCCTTTCGTATGCGGGGCCCAGGCTTGCACTTGGCCGGGGAACCCACCAGCAAAATTTTGGCGCTGGAGCTTGCTTGGGTGACGAGTTAAATTATCAGGACAGACGCACACACATATTTGGTTAGCCCATCTGTTCTATCATTGCTAACTTTGGTGCCCACTTTCTTATCTTCCTAACTTTTTGCATTTTTACATAAGCACCCTATCTCATTCCCCGTCCATCAAAGCTCCTTTTCAGCGTAACAAGTGAACTGCAACAACTAGTCCTTTTTTAAAGACGCCAGATTTTCCATTATTTGTGAATTTTACATAAAATAATGTTAAATGTCCCCATAAGAACAACAGAATAACGTTCCCTTTGTTCGCAAATGTCAAGAAAAATTGAACAGCAAAAAGAACGCAAGAGAGAAGCTAAAACAAAAGAAGCTAAGACCCGTTTGTTTGAAAAAGAAAAAAGAACTGTTGTTTATAC